ATGCTTGTATTTTGCAAAAAAATGCTTAGAAATTCAGTTTGACTCTCATCAGTTGTATTTGGCCCGTAGTATAATTGTGCTGATATAGTTGCTCAGGGATATGCTTCATCAGGGCTTCGTTGTTTGGCGTTACTCATAACCTGCTCTTCTCCGTATAGGTGCTGTTGGAAGTCCGTCAGTCTGTAGCGCGCCAATGGTACAACACCATCAACAACAACATCAGCAACAAGGCGTGATGCAGGAACAACCGACATCAGTAGGACAGTTCGATCGAAGCGTCGGATTCACCCCGCAACGACAAGTGTCGCAAGGGTACGCAGAAGGTGATCTAGAGAGCTCAGGTGGGTATTTTAGTCGATGAAGCTAATATCTGATTTTCTTGTATGAGTCTCAATTAATCCACTATAAAGGTATGGGCACGATTGCTGGGGATGGGCAGTTGTCTCGAAAGTCACTGGTGGAAATGCTAAGTGGGTAGTGGCCGAACGCCTTCTCGCAGCCCTTCCTCCAGTGAAACCAGCAACAACCGCCCGCCTTCGGCAACCGCGCCTATGCATTTCATGGATGAAGACAGGCCCAATTTCCTAGTTTAGCGAGTTTTTCTCAAAGATTCACGCTCATTCATAGTCATCGGCAACGTCGCATTTTTTTGATACATTATGCATTGTTCACGGTGTAGAAGATATGTAGCGCAATTAGGCTTGGTAGGGGCACTTTGCTGATCACTGCCGATGCATTCTGTCAAAACTTGTGAAGTCCTGTAAAGCCACGCCACACCATAAGCGTTTTGCACTGGACAAGAGTTTACAGGTCTCACCAAGTTGGAAGTGATGCCAAATGCCCCAGCCAAGCCGAACGCGCCCGACTTGTTTTGATTACTGTTGTGCTGCCGTTCGTACTTGGAACATGATTTTTGTACAGATTACCTGCTTCTGTTTTTTCTCTGGTGATATGATTATTTGTGGTTTCAGGTGTTGTGCACGTGCAGCAGCAGATGATGGTCACAGAATGCGATGCCTCACCGGGAATGTATGGCAGGCAACAACATATGATGGGGCAACAACAACAACACCAACAACAAATAGTTTGTCACCAGCAACAGCAATTGCAGCAGCAGCAACAGCAACAGCGAATGATGGGTCAGCAGCAGCCCATAATGTGTCAACAAGTAAGCATATTCAGCGGCAGCTTTGAAGTATTGCTTTCAATAGCCTTCTATTAACTCGGTTTATATTATATGTAGAATGGCGGAAAATATTCTTTTGTTTATTGTTGTAAGAATGAGGCAGAGGTGATGTAGCGGGAAGTGGTATATTTACCATTCGCGCGGTCTAGTCAAATCCCTGAGAGGTTTCCGCCCACGCCAACTACAGCGCCTAGCGCCTAGTCTCGAGGATGATGGCTTGGTACCAGATTCTCCTGGGAGGATTTAAACAAAAAAAATAGGAACCTGTTTTGCGCTTCGGTTTGACCTCCGTAAGTTACGGCATATGCCACTTCGTATTCGATGAGCCACCGCGATTCTGCATGGACTGGAAAGCGTGGCGCATCCCTAGAAGGGGACAGATCAGCGGTGAAACTCTCTCTCCTTTTATCCTCCATTTTGTTGCTGAAAAAATCAAGTAATTCTGTCTAGCTCTTTTTATTGAGCGAAGTGCTCAAATTAGTTACATTACTATCTACATTAACAGCTCTGGCTAGATTCACTGTTTGCATATGTCTGTCTGATATGTTGTTATAGATGATGGTACCGCAACACGTTGGTATGATGGGCAGTAATCCTCAACAACATTATCAGCAACAGAGTCTGCAAGCTCAATGGACCCAGCAACAACAGCAGGTGATTGGTTTAGTTGGAATCCCCTTTATTTGCATCGCGCACTTGTACAGTCGCTTTCGCTGCAAAAGATGGGGCCTGTCAGGAGCTGTTCTGGCGTAGCGCTAACCCGTCCTCCACCAATTCTTACTAGGCAGGCGAAAGGCGACAATGATCTCATGAACAGCGGGCGTCCTGTACGCGCGGCGCCAAACGCGTTAGGGCCGATTTACATGGCAGGGGCGCAGCGTGCTGAGGGTTAAAATCAAACTGGTTATATCGCTGTATGTGACATATACATCTCGCTCATTAGGGGACTGTGCGGGCGTATCAGCGCAGAAGAGTGCGCACCGCTGTTTGAATGGCCGTTCTCAAGCGCTTCTTTTTTGAAAGCGCCGTATGGCGAGCAAAAGAAGTGGTAGAAAAACGAGTAATACGAAGGATATAATGCTGTTATGTCATGTTGAGTCGGGGCTTGCAAGCAAGCTGGTGGCAGAAAGACCTGTTGGAACGCGGAAAAAGCCGCCGCAGCTGAGCGCCCCCCCCGCGACTAGTCCGTAATGATTGAGCGAGTGTACATGCGTGGTTCGGGCTACAGGCGGTTGGCGTGTCAGGCGGTATGAGTTTGGCCCCGGCGTGCAAAGCTCGGCTTCCAGCAGTTGTTAGGGCGAGCAAAGTGCAGGCAGCTGTAATCATGATCGATTCGTATTCACCCGTTTTTTCTACCACTGCTTGTCGCATGCACGCTTCAACAAGAAGGCAGAGAACGGCTTTGACGGAGTGCACACTGCCTGACGATCCCAACCGTCCGTAGCGAACTAGAGTATAGCTGCCGAGTCAGAGCATAAAACGTTGTATTATTATTAGTTAGCTTGGATTCTTGTTTGCACTGAAATTAAGATCTACTGCTGTTTACTTTTGATTTCGGCTTGGAAGGGGCATTCTCCACTGCCGTTAGTTTCTTTTCCTAGTTTATGTTATGTTTATATTAACATGTGACAGTTGCTGAGACCTGTAAGCGGAATTTACAGATCTTCACAGGGTGGCCTAAACAAGGTCAGCTAAGTACCCGTTGGTTCCCGCATTAAGCCGGACTGCGCCCAATACTTCTGTCTGTGCCAGGAAACAGCTAAATATGGGTGTTTCCAGGTGCAACAGGCGCATTTTGCTCGTCAACCACAAATGATGGGAGCGGCACCACCGCAACGAGTAATGCTTCAGCGTGTACCGTATCCTCAGGGTACAGGTATGATTCTATTCGAGTCACGTCTTTCATTGTAATTCATCGCCTGGTTTCTCTGGGAACTCTCATTGCCAAAAATGTCTCTCGTCGCGGATTTGGGTAATAGTGTTGGATTCTTTAGCTAGAAGTAACTGTTGCTTTTTCTCGCTTTCGTTCTTATTAGTAGTTCCTTTACAAAGGTCTCCGCAGTGGTGATGTAAACCACTAGGTCTACGAGCTTGGACGTGCTTCTTTTTCATTTCATTCCTCTGTTGCTGCTGTTTTTTATTTTTCTTTCGTTTTTCTTTCTCTCCGCTCCAAGATTACTGCGGTTTTGTTCTTTTTCTTACCTTGAATGCGCCCTTCGTGCGAGAGAAATAGAAGGGTGGACAACTGAAAGATCAATAGGGTGAATCTGATTCGAATCTTTGAATTTCGTCCTGTTTGCCTTTTGTCCGTTCGAGGTTGAAGTGGATACGTGAAACCGCTACGTTACAAAATGTTGACTGGTGTAATGTTAGCGCATAAGAACAGTTTAGAAATAATTGGGCTTACAATATTTTTGCCCAGGTAAAAAAGCAATGGAGTAGAAAGGTTGCAAACGTGTTATGGGAACTGCCATCAACTTACTCCATGAGTGAGATTGTATCTTCAAGATGTTCCTTCCTTATTCACTGATTCGCTACCC